GCTGGGTTGCAAAGCTGCCCGCGGCCTCTGCGGCGCCGGTTCGATCCCCGCTGCTCCCCGGCCACCGGAGGAGGATCCCACATGGTGCGCAGACCTCTCCTGCCACCCGCTGCTCCCCTCAGCAGTGTGCTTCAGTCCCTCTGCCTGCTCTGCTCCCCGCTCTGGCTCTGGTGAATTCTCTCACCCTCCCGCGCTTCTGACTGTACCCAGTGCATGTATAAACAAAACAAACAAACAAACATAATAAATAAATAAATAAAAACATGCCTCTATTTAAAAAAAAAAAAAAACAAAAGACTAAGGCAGTGATTAGAAGGGAGGGAAGAGATGCTGGAGGTTGAATTAATAATCCATCATGCCCATGTGAGAAAGCCTTCATAAAAATCCCTAAACTACTAGATTTGGAGAACTTCATGGTACACATCAAAATTCCAGGAAGATAGAATACCAACTCCATAGGGGCACAAAAGCTTCTGCAAGTAATAAACCAATTAATGTAAGCAAATATTTACTTGGGTTTTGTGAGCTGTTATAGCGAATTACCAATCAAACCTGAGGAGGGGGTGTGGGAGCCCTGGTTTGTTGTCAAGTTATTTAGAAATGTGGGCTCCCTGAGCACTCAGTACTTGTCCCTGAAATGGAGGTTGGTCTTGTGCATTTGAGCTCTTTCCTTTTGGTGTCTGCACTACAAATGGATTAAATTGTAGGACACCAAGAGAACTAGAAAATGTCGTAATGTGATAAAACCATATTTTGTATTAGAAGTGTGAGTAAAAGTTTTCCACTGAAGTTTGTTGGATAAATAATGATAAACCTAAAAGGACATAGAAAGCCAGGTAGCGTTGGGACTAAGAATGAAGTGATAGGTAATTGCAGAGGAAATGGAAAGTAAAAGACAGATAAGAAAAGATAGTTCAGATATATGGAATAAAGGAGAGAAAAGTCAAAGATAACTCAAATTTCTAGTCTTAAACTCTAGCAGATAAAAATGATGGTAGCCTTTGGTACCCACCCTTACCAGCCTCTAGTCTCTATAATTCTCTTCCTCTCTTAAGATCTTTAATATCAGCTAGATGTATAAATATTTTTAATGAAACTGGGTATCTGAAATATTGAACATTTACTCCTTTGAACCTTATTAATATCTTTTGCTTTTTTAATTATAGAACTTCATTTTCACCAATTTAACATCATTTCCAAGACCTGTTTGGTATGATGGTGTGATTAAGTTTAATGTTAGTTATTACTGGAATAAGGAATAGCTATAAAAACTAACAAAGTCTCCCCTTTAATGCATAATCTTTCCTGCATGCATAGGTGAGTCAGTTAAACAATTACAATACAAAGCTGTGTGTTCTGTAGATTGTGTGTGTGCATGCATGCAGATAAATGATTTGGAAAGCTATAAATACATTTAAATCACTGAGAATGATTGTCTCTTATGGGGATGACTGGTGTCACGTGGTGTTGAGGGGAAACCTCACCTTTTTCTGCATTTCAATTTTGGTGAAAACATACATGTGTTATAATTTTAAGGTTTCAATGAGACAAAATATTTTCCATTTTATTTTTCCAGCATCAGCTGACCATTTGCTTCCCAGAAAGCTTCTTGTTTGTTTCTTCAGAAATGATCCAAGAATTTTGATAATGAGTTAAAACTGTAAAGTATTTGTTTGCTTGCCTTCCTACACAGAGTAGTACATGGATAACTGTGTAAAGTAATTAAAGAGTATGATTTTCCTTAGCTATTATGTTAAATGCTCTTTCCTAGTGCTAAAAGTTTGACATTTTTCTGAGACTTAAAGTATTTTACATGGTCATTACTTAGTGATGGTGACTAGTTCCTCACTTTCCCTCCTTCCTCATTTTTAATTAAGTGGTGTTATTATTATGAAATAGGAAATTGCATTAGTGTTAACTGAGAAAATAGGTTTTAATGATTTAATGGTGAGTGTTAGTGCATGGTTTTTAAGGATTCTAAGGCCATTTTGCTTTTCTGGGAGTTCCATCCTTGTGGTAGAACTAGTGGTTATTGAGTAAGTAGTTTCTGAAAAGTGAGAGAAAACAGTTGGAAATTAGGTTTCTGGTGAATAAATCAATTCCTATAAAAAGCTCCGGGGTCAAGTGCTTTTAAGAACCATTATAAATCATGAATGATTTATCATAAAAAATAATGGTAACTTAGTTGCTAGGAGCCCTTTTGTATGATTCTGGTTTTGAGTCAACCAACAAAAGGAAGAAAAATTCAAGCTACTCAGTTGTGGTTTTCACTGAATCTTTCTCAACTGTTGTGCTTTCTTCATCACCATAGCAACTTCAGCTCGTTTTGCTTTTGACTTTTATTTCCCCTGGAAAAACTTAGTATGCACCAATCATTGGACTCTTGAGGATAGTAAGAAATGTCTTTGGTATAACTAAATTAAAAGGCAGAAAAATGCTTTCTGCTGTGTATAGTTTGCAGATGTCTGCATTTAAATGTTTTTCAAACATTTGGATATCAGTTGATTAAAGTAACTGTTTAAGTTCATTTTCTTGAGAATAAAAGGTATAATTTCAAAGTTCCAGTTGTAATAAGTACTTTATTACAAGTCATACCTTCAACCTTACCAAGTTGGTAAATAATAAACTTTGTCATGGGTGGTGTTTCTTTAATTTCCTTTGAACTAGAAGCACAGGTTACTGTTAGCTGATCAGAATGTGTGATTGTTGATTTTAGACCTATTTCTAATGGCATCGATGCTGTGGTTTGCACCTTGTAATCACCCTACTAGGTTTATAGTTTAGAAGGCAGTGGGCTTTTCAAAGTACCTACCTCCATTGTTAGGTGAATGATAATCTATTATTATACCTGCTAGCATTGTTGCTCAAGACCCAGAGATGATCTCTTCCCAAATACTAGCAGTTCTATTATCAACAGAGGCTAACAATGGTCTAGAACTTTAGGAGACTTTTTAACAAAACCCCTAATTTTCTCCATTTCTTAGATAAATTTCGTTCCTTCTAGTTTCTGCCCGTATTGCCACTATTGATCCTGCTCAACTTTAGTCTGCACTGCCAGACTTCTAGCCAATAGAAAAGGAAGAAAGGCTTGATTTTATGAAAAGTGACAATACTATCTGATTTATAAATGTAACTATTTCAGGCATTTTTTTGATTCCCACTGAATGCATTAGATATAAGCACTAGGTAAGGAAAGTAACTTTTGCCCTCACTTAAGAAAGCAAGGGAAATTACAATAACTTAGTGTCTATACCACGGGCTGTAAAAGAACAATAGGGAAAAATGCTTCACAGGAGAAATACTGATTCTAAATATTGCATTATTACCCCCATGAATTTATCTTGAGAAACAAACAAGCCTTATTATGCTGTTTAAACTCCTATCATTTTAGATTTTGATGAGTAAATTTCTTGTTATTTGCTACTGCTTTGTAATACCTGTAATGTGATAATAGTTGAGATTGCCAGCTGCCTCTCTCGGTGGTCCCCTGCTGTCCTGGCAGGATGCCTAGAGTGGTGTTACCCTCTGCCCGCGAGCAAGCAAGCATAGGTGCCCACAGCTATTCGAGCACTGGCTTCACTTGGTTAGAACACTGCACCTTATTATTTAACAGCATTTTTGTTTTAAAGATAGAGTATTCCAAACTCTTTGGAATACTGTTTTTGTGCCTTGTACTTTTGCTTTTTAGTACTTTCTAGTACTTTTACATGTATGGGCACTTAATGGTAAGTTACTGAGAACTTGCATATAATGTCAAAATTTTTAGTGACCATGGCTTTTCTGTCCTCAGATTTTAAGTCAAAAAATAGTCATACAGGGCCTCCCCAGTGGCGCAGCGGTTGAGTGGAGCTGCCCGCAGCCTCTGCAGCACCGGTTTGTTTGATCCCCTGGGTCCGATCCCCGGACGCAGACCTCTCCTGCTGTGCCCACTGCTCCCCTCAGCAGTGTACTTTGGTCCTCCTGCCTGTTCTGCTTCCCGCTCTGACTCTGGTGAATTCTCTCACCTTCCCGTGCTTCTGACTGTACCCAGTGCTTGTATAAGTAAATAAATAAATAAATTTTAAAAATGAATAAATAAACAAATACATCTTTTAAAAAAAAGAATAGCATTAAACCTATTTAAAAAAATAGTCATACACTTAGAGAAACACATATTTGATCGCCTAAAACATGCCATTTTCTGTGTTAGGCACTAGGAATTAGGGTAGTGAAAAAACGAGGTCTGTCTTAACAGACCAGCTTACCTGGAGTGGGCATCAAATAGCAGACAAATACATAAAGTCATTGGTAAAATATTAAATAATGTAGAAGAGGCTATAGAGTAGGGATGAGGAAGCAGTCAGTGCTCTTTAAAGTCTTCTAACTATAACCATTTTATTTTTCCAGTAGGCCAAAGGTAGAAGTTCTGCTTTCTTCTTCACATGGTCTTTTGATTATATATACAATAGATAAAATTCTCTTAGAACTTAATCATTTATGTTTAGATATGTGTTTTCTGAAACACAAAAGAAGCCCTGCTTTAAAAATGACTAATGGTGGTTTCTCAAATTGAGTGGACTTCCTTAAAAAAAAAAAAATTCATTTTGAAGGTAATGTTTGTCTTGTAGAATCTTAGGTACTGTTCGGCATAAGTCTCTGGAGGATAGGACTGTGTCTTATCCTCTCTAAATCACCAGGATCCCTGCTTATCTTCTCCTACCAGAAAGCAGAAACTGAACTTCAACACCAAACTTTTTCTCTTAACTCTCAGAATACTTAAAATCAAATATTTTGCTTGTTCTATAGCTATGGGTGTGTAATTAGCAACTTTTCCTCTTGACTTTTTTATGTTGGCTTTTTATTATAAGCTACTTCAAGTGTTTTTGAAAGTATAGACATTTCAGAGAGAAGCTTTTTAAAAAAACTTGCCAGAAGGATGTTCTAAATAAATCCCTTTCTTTCTCAACCCACCTACCCCACCCCACCCCCGCCTTTTTTTTTTTTTTTTAATACTCTACCAGGTATCCGTTACAGCACTGATGTAAGTGTGGATGAAGTAAAAGCTTTGGCTTCTCTGATGACATATAAGTGTGCAGTGGTTGGTAAGTGATTGATTCTCTTTTGTTAATACCTAATAAAAACTCTTGGGAAATATGTTTATATGCAAGGTTACTTTTAAAATGTACCTCATCTAATTTTTAAGTGTAGATCTTTATTTCAATCCCTTTCCATACTCTGTAAATATGACCAAATCGTAGTAGAAGGAAAATAAGTATGCTGTTGTCTTTTAGAAGTGATAAAGCACACTGATTAAATATGCATGGTAACTTGTCTAGCCTTGTAACTTTCGTTCATGAGAATATTTATGTATACTATTTTAGAAGGGATGTCGATTCATTTCCTTCATGAAATTCAAGCTTAATGCAACATACTTTTTTTTTTTTTAATATTTTGTAGTGCTTTCTACTTTTCTAGTATTCTTACCCTTTATATGGAAGTAACAACTTTCAGTTTTCTCTTTCAGATGTACCATTTGGGGGTGCCAAAGCAGGTGTGAAGATCAATCCCAAGAACTATACTGTAAGTATCAAAAGTGAAATTTGTGTACACACTGCATTTATAGAGGGCTTGAAATTAGAAAGAATGGAAAAACAAGTAAATAATTAACTCATTGGGTATTTGGCCACATTAAAAGGTTACCTGCTTAATGTCAATGTCCTTTTTCATTTTCTTACTTGGTTAAATGGTAATTAATACCTTCATATTTTTAAACATTTAATCTATATTTATATATTACTGTGAGATTTTTATGTCTGGTCTTAGTGACACAAATAGTTTAATCCAGTAGAAATTTAGTTGTTTTTCTCCTATCTGTTCCAAGTTAATTAAAGTGATTTATTACTAGCTTTATTTATGGCTGTTATTTATATCTGTACACAAACATAATAAATATATGATTTTTATAATGTACCCTTTAAATGAAAATATACCATAGAGATTGCTCATTGGGTCCTATGTTAATACAAAGAGAACAGCAGCTTGTACTTGAGCCCTAGTTCTAGCTGCTGATTGTATAACCTAATTTCAGATCTCACATTTTCTTACTTTTAAAGTCAGAATATATAAGATCTGAGGATCATACAAGAAAATATATATTAATGTCCTATAAATGGAAAATATGCATCTGTTACCTCCAGAACTGGTTTTTCTGTGAAAATATTTTTTCATTATTATTTTTATCTTTTTCTTTTATAGGATAATGAATTGGAAAAGATCACAAGGAGATTCACCATGGAACTGGCAAAGAAGGGCTTTATTGGTATGTGTTGACTTGTAGTTTACTGCCTGGAGTGGAACATTCAGATTCTTGCTTTATGTATATATACATGGATAGGGTTGCCCTTTTACTTTGAGAAAGTGCATTGAGGTCCTTGGGTTGCAGTGTGGGTACCATAAGAAATCACGTCCACCTTTTCTTCATCAATATAACAGCATTGCACAATCTCTAATGCAACATCCAGAAGACCAAGGCCCTACTTCTAGGAACTTAGTAATACCTATATTATTTAAAAAAAAAAAATTTAACTTAAAAAAGCAGCTTTACAATACTAATCCGTTCTTAAAACAGTGAGGTATCTGATACCTTTTGGAATCGGAGGCATGAGCAATCCTGTTCCTTGAAAGCAGGTGGGAGATGGAGAGACACTTGGCTGATGATTCACTATGCTACCACTGGCTGATTTTTGAGGATTCCTTCCTGAGGCTCCTAATGTTTTATTCCTAGGAGCTTTTTGCCAAGCATACTGAATTTCTGAGGGTACAGAACTTCATTTGCTCGATGTTTTTGTATCATACTATTATATGTGTCATGTTCTTTCATATGAGATATGAATATGAATATCTCTAATATAAATATTTGTCATATAATCTTTAACTTTCAAATAAATTAAGTCTGTTTCTTTTGCTCTAAAATGATTCTGATTAATTTTAATAAAATAGACAAAATTATTTAATAGAATATTTACCCTTTTAACATCATTAAAGAAGACTAAAATTGGGGAAAAGATCTACTTTTTCTGTTTTCCTAACCCTGTGTTTTTCTTCCCTAACAATCCCCCATGTGTTTCCTCTTAGCTCAAATCTCAAATTTATTTAATAATTTTAAGTGTTTTCAGATTTTATTCTGTCATATTTATTGGCCACGTCTAGATACATATAGCTTAATTTTCTGGGTATTGACAAGTACTACACAGTTCCAAAAGCTTAAAAAATGATTCATTGAAACTAAAAGCTTACATGTAAAAGCTTCATTAACCTACAATGCAAGTAAACTGATATCTGGACCCAGAAAACTTTGTCTTGGAGAGACAGAAGATTTTTATTCTTTCGTTCAGGTCACAGAACTACTTAGTCCTAGGCAAACCTTTGGAATTGATATGATTTCTCTGTTGTTTTCTAATGTCCCTCAAACAGAAAGTTTGAAATTAGACCTGAGTGACCCTGTCTCACTGAGTATAGGATCAGCTTTCAGTTTCTACAAGAAAAAAGTAGAGTTGTGTGAGGTGAAAGGTAGGTTTGGAGAGGTTAGACTTTAGGAGAGTTTCAAGATGCATGCCTAAGGAAAAGAGTACTAGGATACAGAAGAGTTACAGTTTGCATGGGGGAGTGGAATAGAAGGGTTGTCAGAATCAATCCTTGACATTTCAAAGTTGTTTATCAGTTCTGTATGCATTATATCACAACTTGTAAGTACCTTTAGCTAGAACCTTGGCCCCTGAAATGTGGAAGAATATTAAAATGTACATTGTTCTATTGGTTAAAAAATGAAAGTTACAGGAAGAACTCAAGTACAACATTTAGAAAGAACTTTATTTAGAGCTGTGTTTTTTTTCTTTTTTAAAGATGAGTTTGTAGTATAGCATTGAAACAAAACAGGTTAGCCATATGGCTGAAATCCAACCTGAGTAAGTTCCTGCATATCATTCCAAACCTCTGCACATAGACGTACAAATAGAAGTGTACCTAAGGTGTTGATATAATGAAAGTGTATACATATACTGTACGGAACCTACTTTTTTTACTTGTATGTTTGGTGATTTTCCCAAGTCATTCACAAAAACACAATCCTTTTTAATGTTTGCATGGTATTTCTTTAATTGAACCTCAAGATAATTGGGTTGTTTTTATTCTTACTATTGTTGATAGAAAAATTTCTTTATTTCCTGTCCTAATAGATTTGAGTGAGCATCATTTAATACATTTCTACCTGAGATTGCACTGTGACCATTACTAATAGTACTGTCACCAGTATCTATTACTGCCCTTGAGCTGACTTCTTGTATTCTCGAACTTTTTAATTTGCTGTGATCTGAAAAATTGAAAGTCAAAGCCTGAAACTTTATGTACACTGAGTGAGTTTTCACAGTAAGGTCAAAACAACATTCTACTATGATTAAAAATATTATGGGCCTTAATATAAGTGCTTCAGTTGTGTGGCTTTCTCAAGAGCCCTTCTTTTTTCTACTTGGTGAAGGGGTCTTATACTCCCAGTGAGTGATATAGTACTGTGTTATACACATCTACTCAATAACCACAGCAATCCTCTTCATATAGGGTGAGGTGGTACTGTTATCTCTAATTGCAATTTAAGGAGCTGGGGTCAAGAGAGGCTCAGCTGATTGGCCTGTGCTTGCACATTCAGAAGTTCTACTGAGTGGTTTATATCTGTTGTACATAGCTAATTTCCAAATATATAGAAAGTAAGTGCAACAAGTGAGTTTACCTTAAAAGCTGTGTGTGCAATGCCCTTTCCCTCTGCCCCCAGGCCCTGGCATTGATGTGCCTGCCCCAGACATGAGCACTGGAGAGCGGGAGATGTCCTGGATTGCTGACACCTATGCTAGCACCATAGGACACTATGTGAGTACAAACAGAAGTGTGAGGGCATCATTTGCTGTCTATAAGAAATAACAATTAAACTGATCATATATTTAGAATGGGGAATTCACTGGATTTTACTTCCCTCTATTTGTAAACCATGGATGTAGTGAATATGGATTAAACTTTTAACTTAATGTTGCCCTCTCCTAGATGCTAGGATGGGAAACTCAAAGAAAGATCATCAGCCAGGGCAGGGCACACCCCTTAGAAACTAGAAGGGAAACAAAGAAGCATTTAATTCTATTATTTTTTCCCCTCAAAGACTTTGATTTAACAGGAACTACACACATAAACAAACATGGCATGAAAATAGTGTGATAAAAGGATAGAGAGTTATGATTTCTGAAAGAAAGCTTGTTGAAAGAGTTGTTTGGGCTAGACCTTTGAAATAGTTAGAATTTTAACAGAGATTTGAGAGCTAGGAGAATAATTAGTAGAACTCTGATTTTCTGTGAAAATAAGGCATATTTGGAAAGATGAAGAGATAAATGAGCTAGGATTATAAAGTGGTTTTGTCATATTTGCTAGTCAGAGGGAAACTTTGAAGCTGACCCTTCCATAGGACAGAGTGGGCTCGCAGCAGGAGAGGTTGCTGGAGGAAGGAAACAACCTCATGCTGTCAGGCCTGTCGTGTGGAGCCTGGGGAGAAGCACTGGCACAATACAGGGGTAGACTGAGTGGGTTGAATGTTTGGGATCAAGGAAAAGGGCAAGGTTGAGTCATAGAGAACCAGGAGGACTAGAATATGGGGGACTGAGCAGAAGCAGTGACTTTATACAGAGCACAAGAGAAAAACTCCTTGAAAGGGATGTAACCTTTAAAAAAAAAAAATTGAAGGAGTGGAGAGAGAAAGAAAGTTAGAAGATAGTCATTTAATTTAAAAGACGTATCAAGGGCCTCCCTGGTGGCACAGGGGTTAAGCACCGCACTGTGAAGCTATCCACAGCCTCTGCAGCACAAGTTCAATCCCCAGCCAGCCAGTGAGATACCCACATGGCACAGTAGAACTCTCCTGACTCACCCACTGCTCCCTTCAGCAGTGTATTTTGGTCAGTCTGCCTGTTCTGTTCTCCACTCTGTCTCTGGAAAATCCTCTCGCCCAACTACCCCACCCCACCCCCCACATCTCTGGCCTGTACCCCAGCTCTTATATGTATAAATAAATCTATTTAAAAAAAAATAAAAGACATAATCAAGGAAGGGGAAGGAGGAGGAGCAAGCACAAAGTGGGGAGGGAGCAGGCTGGACTATGGTCATGGGCATTGGGTGGTAGGAGCACTGTGGGAACAGCAGTGGAAAAAGGGGGATCCTGTATTTCCAAAATATAAACAACAGTGTAAACCAATGTTACTCAATGAAAATAAATTGCATGCACAAAATATAATAACTACATATCATGTACCTACTAAGTGCAAGCTATTGGGGGAACTGCTAGGAGAAGTTGTGATGCCATGCAAGAGTAATGAGGGCCTGAACAGTCTCCACTTAAGAAAAATGGCATCAGGAAAGAGACACCCTAAAAGGTGGCTATTGGACAGAGTATAAGGCGTTTGTTATTGTTTGGTGTGGAAAGATCAACCATGGAGAAAAAGAGGCATATTTTTCCCATGTGGGAAGAAACATGAGGGAGGGGCTGCAGGTGAAGGAATTTAGAGATCAGTGTCATTTCCTAAGTGGTACGATCTGTAATTCAAAACATAGGCAGACAGCCTGAATTCTAGAACTGGCTCTCTCACATATCATTTCCACGATCTGTGGCCAGTACCTTACATTCCCTGTACCTAGTTTCCTTGTATGTAAAATAATAACAATAATACAAACTACAGTCATGTAATTAAATGAATGCACTTCCAACAGTACCCAGCCCTTAGAAAGCAAAAAACAATAAATGTTTCTAAACACTTTATCAGATTATTTGCACAAATCCCCTGAAATAAAATGGGAGCAGTGGAAAACTGAAGAATTTTGATTACGATTTCCCAAAATGAGGTTTTCCCTGCCACCATTTTATGTTAAAATGAGTTCTGTGTATAGTCACTCATTCCTTTAGAGCAAGACACTAGATTGAAGAGGGCAAAGTAGTAGGCAGCATATTGTTAGTCATAGCTCATCCCCAGTGGTGACAGCAAAAGGTTTTGTGAGGCACCAACAGCTAAAGCTTGGACTATACCAGTAAAAATTTTCCTCCTTAAAGTGACAGGAAATCCAAAATCAGAAATTTGTTTAAAATAAAAAACGCTTAATCTAAGGAAGACACAGTTTTAGTGACTTATTTCCAGACATCAACCTGAACCATTCACTTCTTCTGTCTTGCCCCACACAGAAGAGCAGGTGTTGGAGGGAGAGTGTGCTCCTAGTCTTCCAGGACTAATAGGTATGCTGGGGAGCTGTGCAGCTGGCACTTTGCCTGACCTCGGACAGGATTGCTGTCAGCTCCAGCATTTGCACTCACTGTTTAAAAGCACTTGGCAGTAGGTTTGCAATTCTGTATTCATAAGTGCTAATTATTCATGAAAGAAAGGCTGTGGGAAAACTACTAATTCTATAAATCACTTTACTAGATTGCCTTTTTTTTTTCACTTGCTCTTGTTTTTGTTGGTAATTATACAAGTAATACAATTTTAAGTTCTCTCTGTAAAAATATTCAAGCAATACAAATAAAGATCAGGTCATTTAGTACCTCACCCAGCTAGAACATATATTGGGGGCTAGGGACTATGGGGTAAAGTAAGGCACTTTAACTTGTTTCACATGGGTGGCAAATTGCCTCAACAAGATTATTAAATAGTCCATACTACGGCACTGTTTTAAAATGCTACCTTCGTTTTATATCGATTTCCTATATATCATAGGAATATCTCTTAAGTTTCTCTTGTGCCACTGATGGATTTATCTGTTCTGTCTGTACTTTGGTTGCTGTTAATGGTATATTTGATACCTTGGAGGGATGCTCTTCCCAAGTCCATTTCTTTTTACAAGATTCATCAGTTGAAATTGTACAGAAAGGTGGGTGGTGAAGACTGTTCCCCTCCCACTCCTCTTTACAGAGCTACCCTGTTCACCCACAGCATGGCCCTCTGTGGTCACCCACATGTACCTTTTTTATCCTTTAACCCAAATGATATACTAGATACATGAAAAATTGAATTCCTAGAAGTAGACTTTCTGGATTAATTTAGATTTTTGTTTTTTGTTGTTTTTGAGCTTCTTAAAAATACCTGTATCATAAGTTTTATTAAATACTGAATATTTTTATTTTGATAAGGACTCCAAATTGCTCTGGAAACATTTTTTAAAGTGTCATTTTATTGAATATCTGGTTAATTTGATGGCAAAAATACTTTGGGATCATTGAGTCTTATCCAGGAACACTATGTGATACCTCTTCCTATCTTTAGGCTTTTGTTTTGGTGATATGCTCACATCTTTGGAAATTTTAAGACACTTACATGGTTGGGATGTATTACCCTGGCTTCATAAGGCTTAAATATTTGTTGCAGGAATAATAGTTTTAAGCTCACTTATCTCCACTTTCATGATAATGTTATTTGTACTTATTCGATGTTAAATTCCTAAAAACCTGTTTCTCCCATCAGAAAATAAAATCTACTTTATACTTTCTAGGAACACAAGTCTGAAAAAGTATCCCTTTTGATGAAGGTGAACCTTAAACACAATTAATTAAATAAATGTTTCAACTTAATCCTTCATTATGTTGGTTCATCACAGAAACACCCTGGTATTTTAGCATCTAAGTTTTGGTATTTTGACTTCTCTTGCAGGATATTAATGCCCATGCCTGTGTTACTGGCAAGCCCATCAGCCAGGGTGGAATCCATGGGCGTATCTCTGCTACTGGTAGGGGAGTTTTCCATGGGATTGAAAACTTTATCAATGAAGCTTCCTACATGAGCATTTTAGGAATGACACCAGGGTTTGGAGATAAAACATTTGTTGTTCAGGTAAAAAATTTCATTTTCTTAAAGAATTACAGATATACATAAAATTTTTAAAGTTTTTAGATTTGCAGTTTTTTGAAGTCAATAATTTTGAATCTCATAAGTTTTAGAACTTTTGTTTTCATAATAATAAATACTTTATTTCTTGAAATTTGGTTTAATTCTTGAAATTACAACTGCTTTACGTATCTCTCAGATATATAGAGGGCTATTACCAGCTGCTTTTGGTCAAAATTTAAATCAAAATTGTTTCCAGAATGTGAAAAGTCTTAAACTAGTAAAGGTTTGCAGTGTTCCAAATTTCAACTTTCAGGTTGCTATTTGATTATTTTAATGCTACTTTATATAATAATTTATATTTCTCCCAGTTAGCAACTTATTATTTTACGGTCATAGGGTATCTAATCATCAGGAACTAAGGACCTTGGTGGTACGGTTGATACCACTGCCATGTCTTGGATTCCCCATTCTTAAAATGGAAATATATAGTTAAAGAGAAGCATTTAGTTCATTTTAGATAAAGGATTTGTGAATTGCTTCTAAGCTAACAGAATGTATGTTAGTGAGAATATGGCACTTGCTTATATCTTCTATACTAGAACTTTGATTTTTATGTCAAAGTTATATAATTGTTCTTCACAGGGATTTGGTAATGTGGGCCTGCATTCTATGAGATATTTACATCGTTTTGGTGCTAAATGCGTTGGTGTTGGTGAATCTGATGGAAGCATATGGAATGCAAATGGTATTGACCCAAAAGAACTGGAAGACTACAAATTGGTATGTTAATCTAATGTCTGGACTGTTTTCCCTGAATATTATTAAAGTAAATTTTAACAATATTATTTCCCTTGCTTATTTTTGGAAGTGTAACTTTAAAAGCTTTTGACAAATGAGTCTCCATATAATGGATACCAAGCATAAACATTTAAGTTCTGCTGAAGTCATTAATCCTAATTTTCCATCAATTCCAGCAACATGGATCAATCATGGGCTTCCCCAAGGCCAAGCCTTACGAAGGTAACATTTTGGAGGCTGAATGTGACATATTGATTCCTGCTGCAAGCGAGAAGCAGCTGACCAAGTCCAATGCACCCAGGGTCAAAGCCAAGGTGAGAGCATGATGGAGACCTGGTTAACCTTATCAGTGTGGAATTGAAGGTCATAGAAAAACTATAACTGTATTTCCTCTTTTCTTTTTAGCACCTTTTATTGGCATAACTTTATACCTCACATTTCGTCTAAATATACAATTTAAGGGCCTCCCCGGTGGCGCAGTGGTTGAGCGCTGGGTTGTGAAGCTGCCCGCGGCCTCTGCGGCGCTGGTTCGATCCCCGGCTGCTCCCTGGCCACCGGCGGAGGATCCCACATGGCGCGCAGACCTCTCCTGCCGCCCGCTGCTCCCCTCAGCAGTGTACTTCGGTCCTTCTGCCTGCTCTGCTCCCCACTCTGGCTCTGGTGAATTCTCTCACCCTCCCGCGCTTCTGACTGTACCCAGTGCATGTATAAACAAAACAAACAAACAAATTAAATAAATAAATAAATAAATAAATAAATAAAAACATGCCTCTATTTTAAAAAAAATAAATAAATAAATATACAATTTAATGACTTAATAGAGAAAAATAACCCTTATTAATTTTTTTTTTTTTTAAGTTTTTTATTTATTTGTTTGTTTGTTTATACATGCACTGGGTACAGTCAGAAGCGCGGGAGGGTGAGAGAATTCACCAGAGCCAGAGCGGGGAGCAGAGCAGGCAGAAGGACCGAAGTACACTGCTGAGGGGAGCAGCGGGCGGCAGGAGAGGTCTGCGCGCCATGTGGGACCCTCCTCCGGTGGCTGGGGAGCAGCCGGGGATCGAACCGGCGCTGCAGAGGCCGCGGGCAGCTTCGCAACCCAGCGCTCAACCGCTGCGCCACCGGGGAGGCCCACCCTTATTAATTTAATTTTAACCAGATGTATGCTTCTCCCCAGAACTCCATGCTCATATATATATACACGTCTCTCGGATTCCATGGAAGAGGTTTGACAATGTTACTGACATTTTTGTATGTTCCTCATTCTTTTGCAGATCATTGCTGAAGGTGCCAATGGACCAACAACTCCAGAAGCTGATAAGATTTTCCTAGAGAGGAACATTATGGTTATTCCAGTAAGTCATCCATGTTTGCCAGGTTTTATGTGTACTTGAAATCATAATTGCCTTTTGCAGGGAATTGGTGCAAAGGGGTAAGTGTTAGTTTTCCAAATTATAGTGAAATTTTTAATCTTTATTTTACTTACGAAGATGCACTTGGGCCTCCCTCGTTGTCTAAGGATTAAGTCTCAGCACTAAGACCGCTATGGCCTGAGTTCAGTCACTGGCCAGGAAGCTAACCCACATATGGCACAGCAGACCTCTCCTCTTTGGCCAACTGTTCCCCTCAGCAGAGTATTTCAGTAAATCCACCTGTTCTTTTTCTGCTCCCCACTCCATCTCTGGTGAATCCTCTCACCCTCTCTGCATCTCTGGCATATGCAGTACTTCTACGCATAAATAAATAATATTTGAAATTTTTAAAAATTAAAAAAAAAATGCAGTCAAAGTGTGGGTAGACCTGAGTATTTTTTTCCAACTTCAGACTCTTCAGTATGTACCTGGTCTTTTCATTCCCCACCACCACCATCCCTTGTATCCCTTGGTCCCTTTCCCTCCCACTTAACCTCAGAGTCCTAAGATATTTATTGATGTCCGCTAGTTTCTCCAAGTGTTTTATGTTGTCATATTATGTGCTATGTAAATATCCGGTATTTTTTTATTGTTCTGACTTAATTTGTTACATATATAATTCTCTGAAATTCCCACCATTTTGTTAACAATGACTATATTTCATCTTTTCTTGTGGTAGCAGTACCGCACTCCATGGTGTGTATTGTAGTTAGTCTTTTTAAGAATTCATTTATATAAATGTGTATTGTGCTATAATTACTATTCTAAATTAAACTCTAAGATATTCTGTGATTTCTAACCTAATGCATTTCAAGTGTCCCTTGCTGCTTTACTCAGAAAGCTATGATAAGGAATATGTATTCAACATTTTCAAAGAATAAGAATGGGGTCTATACCAAAGGTTATTGGAAATTGGAAGATAATGTGGACTTGGGATACATTTGAAAAAGCCACATGGCTGAGAACACTTATCTTCAATCTAACTAAGATAGAGTGCCCTCTGGTAATGAAGAGGGAGTATTAATTTTCTGGTAAGACATCCTGTGGACAATCTTATCTAGTGGTTAGTGGGCAAGCAGTGTTATTTGAGAACTTTTTTGGTGAAGAAGAGGCACTAACAAAGTTGATTAAATGCTTATTGACAAATAAATTGCCCCAGAATTTTTTCTGAATTGAAAAAACTTCAGATAGGTTGGGAAGGGGGTTGCTTAAGTATAAATACAGAGTTTCTAAACCATCAGAGAGTTTGAAGAGTAATCTGCTTTAAAAATTAAATCTTATAGTCATTGTAAGCGCTTATTAAAACCATTGTCTTCTCACCTTTTGATGTCTTTGTGTAACTTTTTGTGCATAGGATCTCTATCTGAATGCTGGAGGAGTGACAGTGTCTTACTTCGAGTGGCTAAAGAACCTAAATCATGTCAGCTATGGCCGTTTAACCTTCAAATATGAAAGAGATTCTAACTACCACTTGCTTAGTAAGTTCTGATGAGCTGTTTTCCAAAAATTATCTTTAGGCCAGCTTAAAAAAAAGAAAAAAACACCTTATATTTAAAAGGTTGTAATCCTAGAGAATTTAATCTCACAACAACATACTGATTCTGTCTAATGAGACCTAGACCAAAAATGTAGAATTTCTTTATGGGTGTTCAATAGATTAGCACTCACATTATTTGTAGTCAGATATTCTTTGATGTAATGTTCCCAAAACATAATGTTCAGCTTAGTAATATAAGGAGTATAATTTTAAATCATGAGCTACTGTTGATACTCATCCACTTCTATCTGTGGTTGCTCTTAATAAAGAAAGACCTACCTATTGTCAAGAAGTTTGAGTCTTCTGATGAGAAAACTGGTTTTCTTTGACTAGAGTAGGCTGCAGATTTAGCAGTAGAATTTATCGTCAAGTTGAAATAAGACCAAGACCTCCAGCTGAGCTTCTTACTCAGCCCACTGAGAATCTGGGTAAAGTGTTCCATCTATTTCCTTTTCTTTTTCCCTGAGCAATTTCTTTTTGAAAGAGCCAAGGAAAAACCCTGGTAATGGGTGTTATGGAAACTGAGCAGTGACCTAAATTCATGTTTATATAGGAATTTGGCAAATTGCTTTATTTCTTTTAACTGAGTTTTAAATGATTAACTGTTTTATGCCTTTGGTGTCAAAGGTTTTTTCTGACGTTCCTTCTTGGCCTGTGTCCTATGAATATATGTTTCAGGACTTCTTTTGGTTCTGCTTCATTTTTTTTCCTAGCAGTGTCTTATTTTGATCTCTTGTTTTTTATAGTGTCTGTTCAAGAAAGTTTGGAAAGAAAATTTGGAAAGCATGGTGGAACTATCCCTGTCGTACCCACAGCAGAGTTCCAAGACAGAATATCGGTGAGTGAGCCCGTAACTGAGTTGTATTTTGCACACATTGCCTGCTGTCTGTAGTCTCAGACCAGGTATATTGATTTGAGTTGAGGGGTAGTAGTCAACATGACAGTAATTATGAGACCTGTGTGTGCTTGTACCTTCTTTTGTTATGTTCTAAAATTGGACTAGCGTTCTAGCTTAAAATAAATAATTGATGGTTCTGCTTTTGATACTTTCGCAACACAGATGACTCAACAAGTGAGTCTAACATAATTGTGAAGCATTATTATGTTTTAATTCTTAAGTTTCAGAAATAGGATCGAAAAGTAAACATTAGATATATGAAAAATTGACTTTGCTGTGTGAACACAAATAAGAGAGTTAGAGAGTTAAAGAAAACCGATTTTAAAAGGTATTTTGTGTTAATTACTGACAGTATATTAATAATGCATATCACTGACAGAGTATATTAATAATGCATATCACAAAAAGAACTCCTAAACAGCAAGTGCCAGAAGACATGAACAACAAAGTCAGAAGAAGTAGGCCTAGAAACATAGTTTTGCCTTGCTGTTAAAAGAAATACAGATTAAAATAAACTTTCTTTAATGCACTAAACTAGCACAAATAATTAATGAATTCTGTACTCAGAATGTCTGTGGTAAGGCTGCTGTACCTCTATTCCGATGACGGTGCACATCAGTGAAGCTCTGAGAATTCTGAAGTTATTGAAATGTTCCTGCTCTTAAACTTGACACTATAATATTGTGCCCTGTAAGAATTTATCCTAAGAAAATACTTCTGAAGGAATAGAATGTCTCCATGTATGATGATGAAATTGGAACTATATGTACAGTCACTTTTTTAAATTGATTTGGTTAAATCTAATGTATATATATGGCAGAGAAATAGCTAAGTAATTATATTTTTTCTTAAAGATTCAGTCATGAAAAATAATTGAAGACTATATTTCAACATGGGGAAGAGTTAGGGTTTTGTTTTGAAGAAGGAAAGATCATTTCTGTACTCTGGGTTATTCCCTAAATAAACCTTCCTCTTTCTCAGAACCATGTCTCTTAGTTCTGGCCTCTGTCGGGAGTGCCCTGACCCATCCTGAGTTTAAGTATCACCACATCTCTGATCGTCACCCTCCTTGTGCCAGAAATTCATACCTCCTTCCATCACAAGTAGCTGAATTCATCAGCTGCTGTTGCTGCTCTTAGATGGACTTCTTACTCCTCCCTGTGGTCACCCCATGTCCCGACACATGTCTGGACCATAGCTTTCACTCAGATTGAAACTGAGAGGGAGTACAGAAAGAAGACAGCCAGTTGGTTAGGAAGGCAGATACTGTAAATGACCTTTGTCCTTTACTGACTAACTTTAGTCCCTCTCATCCCCTGATGTCCTCACTTCTCTCGTTGTCTAACTTAAATTCCATGTTCCATCACTACAGTCACTCCTGGTCTTGTTTTGCTTCCTTAACTCCTTAACCCTGATGAAATCCAACTCTACCCTCTCCGTGCCTGTACCCCCATAGCTGGAGACCCCGCTGGCTCCTGAAATTCTGACCACTGACCTCAAGTAGGCTCTCAGGGCCACCCAGCAATCATTCTACTTTTCCTAGTTCCATTCCTCTCTCATTCTCCTGATTGATCAAATAATTTCTCCTCACTCTCCTGCACTCCAGCTCATGATCTGATAATCTACCCAGAGGAAAACTGAAGCATTCAGACAACGTCCACGTTCCGTGGTTCCTGGTACCTGTACTGTCCTGTGTCATCTCTCCTTTTGATATAGATCAGCTCTGCTTTAAATAAGCCCCAGGCTTGTTCTGGTCATTAGATGGCTTGTTTTCCAATTCCCAAATGTACTGCTCAGCAGATCTTCCCCCCTCTCCTATATCATGTCTTCTACTCAGTCAGTCCTATTATCTTTTAAAAAAAAAAATAAATCTTAATCCCAGTTTTCCTTCCCGTTTTATTTGTGTTGTATTTTTTATTTCCCTTATAGCAAACCTCAAGAGTTGTGTATACTGGTTTTGTTTTGTTTTGTTTTTAATTTTTTTTACATCATTGTTCATTTTGTATACTCTGCTTCTAATTCTTTCTTCTTTCATACTGGAACCTACTCGTATGCCCACCGCCCACCAAAACTTTTCTTATCAAGGTAATGAATAGCATCAGCATTGCCAAATCCAAAGATCATTTGCAGTCCTCATCTTGCTTACCTGTCAGCAGCTCATCATTAATGGTCACTCTCCCTTGAAATGTTTTGTTCCTAACTTTTTTTTTTTTTAAGTTTGATTTATTTATGCATACAAGATCAGGGGCACAGGCCAGAGGTGTGGGGGTGAGAGGATTCACCAGAGACAGAGTGGGGAACAGAACAGGCAGATCGACTGAAATACACTGCTGAGAGGAGCAGTGGGCGAGTCAGGAGAGGTGAGGTCTGCTGTGCCATGTGGGTAGCTCGAACTCATGCTGCAGTGGCTGCGGACGGCTTCATAGGCTGTGTCTTAACGCCCTGTGCCACCAGGGAGGCCCTGTTTCTAACTTTCAGGGCACCACAGTTCTGTGATTTTCTTTGTACCTCACTAGTCATTCCTTTTCTTGTTATCTCACCCTCTTCACATGGGAAAGCTTTATCCCTGAAACACTTCTCTATCTAAAATTCAAAATTTTAAAACAGGATCTTAAATCTGTGTATATGCTGTCTCCTTCCACTAGAATATAAATTGTGAGAAAGAATTTCCATTGTTTTGTTTTCTGCTGTATCCCCAGTGCTGGGAAAGAGCCTGGCACATAGGAGGTACTCAATAAATGTTGGGTGAGTGATCAAATGAATGAAGCAGCAGTATTCCATCAATAAAGCAAAACTTTTTTTTCCTTCTTTTTAACTTGATAGAATAAAACAAGGTTTAATTCTTTTTTTTTTTTTTTTTTTTTTTATAGAGGCATGTTTATTTATTTATTTATTTGTTTGTTTGTTTGTTTGTTTATACATGCACTGGGTACAGTCAGAGGCGCGGGAGGGTGAGAGAATTCACCAGAGCCAGAGCGGGGAGCAGAACAGGCAGAAGGACCGAAGTACACTGCTGAGGGGAGCAGCGGGTGGCAGGAGAGGTCTGCGCGCCATGTGGGACCCTCCTCCGGTGGCCGGGGAGCAGCTGGGGATCGAACCGGCGCTGCAGAGGCTGCGGGCAGCTTCGCAACCCAGCGCTCAACCGCTGCGCCACCGGGGAGGCCCTAAGGTTTAATTCTTAATTCATGCAAGTGTCGAGCCTCCCTAGTGGCGCAGGAGTTGAGATAACAGCCACTGCAGCATGAGTTCAATCCCCAGCCGGGGAGCTACCCACATGGCGCAGCAAACCTCTCCTGTCTCACCGCTCCTCCCCTCAGTAGTGTATTTCAGTAGATCTGCCTGTTCTGTTCCCCACTCTGTCTCTGGTGAATCCTCTCACCTTCTCCCCGACCCCTGCACCTCTGGCCTGTACCCCAGTTCTTGTATGCATAGATAAAATAAATCTTTAAAAAAAAAATACAAGTGTCATAGAAATATGGTCTTTCAGGTCTCCCTGGTGGTGCAGGGGTTAAAGTCTCAACACTAACAAGCTATCCATCCCTTGACCCACATGGCGCAGCAGACCTCTCCTGTCTCACCCACTGCTCCCCTCAGCAGTGTATTTCAGTAGATCCGCCTGTTCTGCTGCCCACTGTCTCTGGTGAATCCTCTCACCCCTTGCACCTCTGGCCTACACGTACCCAGTTCTTGTATGCATAAATAAATACAATAAATCTTTATTTAAAAAAAGAAATAGCTTTCTTAATTGAATAGAGTATTACCTGGATGAAGTTCAGCCTAGATAATTTTTCACTGATTACCCACTTTTAAGTTTTTATCTAGCATCTGTGTTTTATAGCTACATAAAACATACTGGGAGACTTAGTGATAATTGATTGTCCTAAAGTTTTAGACATTATCCCAAACAAATTAGATACTAAGAGGAACCTAGTAAAACAAATTGACTTATAGAGATATTTGGCATAGGAAAAACATTAGCTGAGTTTGGTGGTCAAAAGCCCTAGGTTATATCCTGGCTCTAAAAATAGCATGCCTCACGCTCTTCAGTATGTTGTTGACTGTTAATATGTTAATTTCTTGGTCCATATTTTTCTGTGTTGGTTGTATTACTGTGATCTTAAGAGTATTGTAGGCTGTCAGAAGCAAAACTAAATTTTCATTAAAATGCAACTACTTAATAGTTATCATGATACTGTACAGAAATTAAGTATGTCTTTACTGAAAGACTAAACAATTCTTCCTGGCTATATATTGCCTTAAGAATCCTTTGCACTCTTAGGTATGAAGCATGTCTTTGTGCAGCTTTGTTAAATTTATGTTCTTTTTCCTAATAGGGTGCATCTGAGAAAGACATCGTGCATTCTGGCTTAGCTTACACTATGGAGCGTTCTGCCAGGGTAAGTGTGCAGAGCTGTTGTGTTTGTGCTAGTTACATGAAATGAAGCTCAAGTGTGTCATCTCAGCTGCCAGACTGTATGTGTAGCGACAGAAATAGCCATTTGTTTACATGTTCCTTGTTTGCATATAGCAAAATGCATGCCTCTTCAGTCTTAAATGATGAGCAGTGTTTTCAGGCTCTTCAGTATGTTGTTGACTGTTAATTTCTCAGTGATTATATAATTGGCATGCCATAAATTCACTCCTTAAAAGAGCACAAAGTAGCCATCACCACCTGTTTTTGTCACCGCATTCTTTTTTCTTTTAAATGATAACACAGTGTAACAAGTGAACTTAATCCAGAAAACAGGATGTACAAGAGCTCAGAGAGCTGGTGTCTAAAACTCTTGAGTGTCCTACTGCGTGAGTAGTTCTCTTTGGCTGGCCTAGTCCTGCACTGAAATGGAGCAGGGTAACTTGTCATAGGCCCATATGTTACCTGTGAGTTTGTGGCTGTTAGAGTCAGAGTGGTCTTCATCGCCTCTCTCCTGTTGCAGCAAATCATGCGCACTGCCATGAAGTATAACCTGGGATTGGACCTGAGAACGGCTGCCTATGTCAACGCCATTGAGAAAGTCTTCAAGGTGTACAATGAAGCTGGTGTAACCTTCACATAGATGGATTGTGGCTGACTTCTTCACTACCCTTTTCACCTCTTCATCTGCAGACCTATCACGAGTTTACATGTAACCACAGAAATCTCTCTCTCATGACTTATTAGATAATGGACACCATTCTCAACAAGCCAATCCAAATCAGCCCCTTAAGAAGAAAGAAAATTAAGGTTAGGGGATCATGTGTAAATGGATAAGTGTGAAAGTAGAAATTACCTATTCCAGAGAGCCATTTGGGTACTTTGCCTTTAAATAAAATGTCTCTTCCATCTGGCTGTGCTGCCTTGCTCCATGGCTGTTTCCCAACACGGTGAAAGCTGTGGCCCAGAAAGCACCTATTGTCCAAGAATAGTCAGTTGCTTGCTGCTTTAGCTGTGGACAAATCTGAGACATGCTGTGACTTTGACACATTTAAGAAGCAGATGTGTGGCATTTTCATAAGGTAGCATGGTCCTTAAGTGAGTTATTGGTATTTTACATCAGCAAATTAACTCCATTTTACAAGTTGCAAACAAAAGCTATTTCTCTTTATGCATTTTATTCTTTTAGAATAAAATAAATACATGCTGCTGTAATAAAATTGCCTTTAATCACTTAACAAGCCTAACTTTGACTGAAACAGTGAATGCCTATAAACATAAATGGAAAAAAGCTAGTATTTTTATAACATAAAACAGTATCATTTATAGCTTATCAATCATGTATTGTTGTCCAGCAAATATAAGATGCCCAATGGAGAATTACCTGCAAATGATGGAGGCTATTTTTATTAAGACTGTTCGAATTTACTAATTATGACATATAGTCCAAAGAATGCAGTAACCTCCTTATCATGTTAATTAATTGTTCTTCTCTTTTGAAGAGCTATTGTGTAGACTAATTGAACGATAATTCAAGTAGAGTGTCCCAGAAAAAAAAAAAACACGTGGTCTCCCTGTTTGGAGTCTGGCTGGTGGCTCTGAGCATTGCCAATGGCCCCCACTCAGCCTGACTGTGTCCTGCACACAGCATCATTAACAGTGGGCTAGAAACATTCGGTTGAGTGTTTTGTTTGGAGTTATTTGGCCAGGGCCTTTTTTAAACAGTAGTGTCCCAATGAAGTACTAGATGTTATTTATGTAAGAATGAGCTTTTTTTTTTTAAAAAAAAACAATAATATCCTTTCAGAAATTTCTAACTACTTTGTAACTGCATGACTTAACCTGGTGATAAAAGCAGTTATTAAAAGTCTACCTTTTCCAAACCTTATGTTTCTTTTCTGTGTTTTCACATTTGGTAGTGTCTCTTAGTAGATGATAAAACTACGGTTGGGTTTCTGAAATTTTTTTAAAGTCATCTACATAACATTTCTTTCCAGTGTATTGTAAATAGCCCAAATTTTATTCTATAATTCTTTTGTTCTATTAAGCTCTATTAAGCAATATCCATGACTATTCTTGGAAAAGAGATTTTCATGCTTAAAACTGATATACTGAAGTAATTCCTGTGCCTTTTTTTAATGAAATTTTTATTAAGGTTTTATTTTGTAGCTTAGAGACAATTACTAATTTAAGACAGAATACTAACCATAATCAACAGAACTGGATATGAGACATGATTCTACCAATTACTTAGTTACCAAATCTGGAGCTTAGCTTTCAGTTAGACTTTGTGTCTGTTTTGTCCAGAATCTGCCTCATTCTGAGCATCTAGTCAGGCAGTAGGTAAATTGCCACAACAGGCACACTGTGCCCTTCCCAAGCATGACAGTATCTACTTGTACTCTAGGTGGAGCACTGAGATGCGTTGTGGGACAGAGTGATGTGAAAATTCAGTTTCACAATATTTGGAACAATACCAGGTGGACAGTAGATTCAGATTACTGCTATTCAGCATTGTGCTAGAAGCACTTGTGCTAGAGCAATTAGGCAAGACAAATAAAAGCCATCTAACTTGGAAAGGAAGAAGTGAAACTATTTCTATTTTAAGTTACATGATTCTATGTATAGAAAATTCCACAGAATGCACACACAAACCTACTGGAGCTAATGAATGAATTAAGCAAAGTTATCAGGTACATTACCAACACTTAAAACATTTTTCTATACACCAGCAGTGAGCGTCTGTAAAGGAAATTAAAACAATTGCACTTACAATAACATACAAAAGTAAAATAGGAATAAATTTAACCAAGGAAATAAAGGTGCTATAAACTGAAAATTAATATTTCAAACAGCCATTTGTGTTTATAGATTAGAAAATCTTACTATTGTTAAAATGGTGCTACTCAGTTTACAGATTCAAAATTCCATTGGCTTTTTTTTTTTTTTTTTTTTTGCAAAATAGAAAAACCAATCCTAAAAATTATATAAAACTGCAAGTGACCCCAAATAACCAAAACAATATTGAAAAAGAACAAGCTTAGAAGATTCACAATTCCAATGTCAAAACTTAGTATAAAAACTACAGCAATTAAAATGTTACTACTGGCATACAAGCAGACTATGGAATAAGATTGAAAGTCCAGAAATATCTGGTCAAATTGATTGTCAACATTGATTCCAACACCATTTGTTTTTGTTTCCTGGGATTGCCTTAACAATGTCCAACAAATTGGATGGCTTAAAAACCACAGAACCAGGAACTAAAAATTGAGGTGTGAAAAGGCAAGATTATGCTCCTTTTGAAATCTGTAGCAAGAGAATTTTTCCTTGCCTTTTCCTTATTTATGGTGGTAGCCATCAATCCTTAGCATTCTTTGGTTTGCAGCTACATCCAGCCTCTGCCTGGTCATCAGGTCATCATCCCTCTGTGTGTCTGCCTTACAGTGACAGCAGTCATACTGGAGTAAGAGCCCACATCCTCTGCTGTATGACCTCTCCGAGACTGGTTGCATCTTCAGTTACCCTGTTTCCAAATAATATCACATTCTTTAAGAAGTAGTGGGTTTTGGACTTCAACATACTCTTGGAGGATGCAATTCAACCCCTAGCACCATTCAATGAGGAAAAATAACTGAACAAAAGGCAGACAAATGGCTATCCACGTGCAAAGGAATGACTTTGACCTCTTATTCCATATACAAACATTAATTCAAAATGTTTCAAAGATCTAAAGAGTAGAAGGAAACAGGATTTGAAAATGCAGTCTTAGGTTTGACATTGAAAGCAGTCTAAAAGGAAAAATGGATTCATAAAAATTAAAAGCTTTTTTTTGCATCAATGGAATTTATCAAGAATGTGAAAAGACAACCCACAGAATAGAGAATATTCACAAACCATGAATGAGTAGGGTATAAAATCTTTTCCTCCTCCTTTCCTTACATTTCACTCTATTTGATGTGCATGTCATACTTTTAAATTATTTAAGGGTAGTTTCTTTTAGCTCTTTGAACATGTTTAAAGTTGTTGATTTAAACCTTAGTCTGTACTTCTAAATTCCAATTTCTGGACTTCATCAGGAATGGTTTCCATGTTTCCCCCTTTAAATGGGCCATAATTTCTTTCCTTGCATATCCTATATTGCGGGGGCAGCGATTTGCTGAAAACTAGAGTATTAAGCAATATAATGTGGCAACTCTGGAAATGAGATTCCTTCCTGCCCCCCACAATTATTGTTTAGTGACTTTTCCAAACTTAATTCTGTCGTCTCTTTTCTTTCTTGTATGTGACCACTCAAGTTTCTATTTCGTGTTCAACTAATGATTGGACAGATTCCTTAATGACCTGAAACAGTAAATCTCTCACCTTTGCCAAGTGATGGGGTACTTGTTGGACCTCACCTCCAGCATTTAACCAAGCAGCTTACATCTCTGCTTTGGTTTTTACTTCCCACTTACATGAAGGCTCAAAGTCAGAAATGAGCATTTTAAGCCTCCTCAGGTCTTTACTGAGCATGCACCCTGCTCTGAATGTGTGCATCGGCTTCTAGATTACAAGGAATATGTCAATCTTCAAAGTCCCCATGAACATTTTATTTCCTGGTGTTTCTTTTAAGTTTTCTGGTTAGCCCGTTGTTTGCCCAAACTGTTAACCACTACCTCATGCAGCCACCAACTTAAAAAATTGCCTCTAAATGTTTTTTGACAAACATCCCCAGGAAAAATTTCTTTGGCATTAGTTGAACTCTTGAGTCAGGACAAATGACAATTTTGCAATGGGCTCTTCCGGGGAACCACCAGGAAAGTCGCATAATGTCAGTTTTCTGGTAATTGAGCTCTGAAGGAACTCTAACCATGACTGCTCTTTCTAGTGGCTGCCATACTGTTGGTTTTCACAGTTATTGTGAGCTATTGATTTTCAAAACCACCGTGGCACTGGATAAAGGGGGAGCGGGAAGGTGAAAATCAAATAAGGAAGGTTAAGAACATGACAAAACCGGATGTTCTTGTTCTTAACAAGATTTTGTCTTCAGTTTGTTTTACATAAATGCTCCCTGCATTGCTATAAAACTTGAGTTGATTTTCAGAGTTCTGAAAGTAGTTAATTTTGACTGCATTCTGCATTTTTTTTTCTCGTTGCTTTTATGAAGGAGGGAATTTTTTGGAGGACCTTGATCCGCTATATGCACTTTTGCTTTTAAAAAGTAAATTTATCTGAGGTTGATGCCATGCCCCTCACGCCACCACACAGTACTCATTCAAGAATAGCTAGCCCACTGGAAGGAGAAGCTAGGGGAACGTGGCGGTGCTTCTCCAACTCTTATTGTAAAGGAGCAGTTTTATTAATCTGATTCATCTTGGTATGTGGTCTTATTTCATGTGACTAGTTCACATGCAACTTGCTGTGCAAGTTCAACAACCTGAGCTGGTCTTTGCTCTGTTCAAGAATTGTCCAATTGCTATTAGAGTTTCTAAACACTCTCAGTTTATTTATCTTATCGCTAAGTAGTAACAAAGTTTGCAAACCAACAAACTTTGGATAGCATTTACTCAGAAACAATCTTCAATCAGCTAGTGCATGCCTACCACTACCACACTTTAAAATATATCTACATTGATTTTCTCTTAAATTCAAGCATCATAGAAATATGTAACGTGGAAAATTAGGATTCCTCATGATTCCAGACTCAGAGATGAACACTTAATATATTTGCTGTTTATGTGCTACCAGTTTTTTTCTATTGTAGGATTATGTGTTTGCTTTGTAAAAAGGGACTGACTCTGTATGATTCTGTGTACATATTTTGCAACTTAATAACTTACTTGGATATGTTCCCATATATGTGTACATTTTCCTCTTTCTTTTTGACAGTCATGGAGGATATTGCTTCATATATATGCAGTAATTATTAATCGGTCCCTGTTGGTAGCTATTCAGGCATAGGTACCATTTTTGCAGCTCAGGCATTGCAACACAGTAGATGTGACAGCTACCAATTCTCTGTAGTGTGCCAAACCTAATAGAGGCACAAAACTTATCATACAAGTAATTTCCAATAACATTTTAAGGTACATCCAATCTTTCTCTATTACAAACATTCCTTGATAAACCTGTTTGCTCAAACTTTGGGCTTCTGTATCTACCTGTGCACATCTGAGAAATAAAGTTTGGTAAAGGATTTACCATTCAAAGAGTATATACTACTGCCCACAATGTTCTCATCTTTTTGAGCTTGGGTTTGGATTGGGGTGATTCAAAAGTCTTCAAGATAGGTGGTCCAGACCTAGCTGGATAGAGGCAGACATTCCCTAGCCAGGACATGGATAGTCAGAAATGTGTGAAGTCAGGTCTAAAAGAACACCATAAACATGGTGAGC